TGGGCCCCTGTACCGCCTCCTCATGCTGCTGCCAGGTCCAGAGTGTGTCATGGGTCCCTGTACGGCCTCCCATTGCTGCTGTCTCCATCGCCACACTCTGCCATGTGCCACTTTCAGGTCTCCTCACACTGCTGGTGGGTTCCATTTTGTCATAGGGTGCTGTATGGCCTCCCATTGCTGCTGCCTCCACCGCCACACTGTGGCTCCACACTCTGATTTGGCCCCGTGACTGCCCAAATGAGTGAAGTGTGCGGTGATTCTAAGATCGACGGCACTCATCTGCATGTCATACTGACTGACAGTATTATTTCTCTTCCCCAGCAGACTCCAAGGGCATTTAAATTAAAGGTACAGTGTTCTGCACTAATATAAAGGCTCTCTGAAGCCTAGAAACACCCTTTTTATAAGTTAAATTCGCAGCGAATATATTCGGCACGAAGCGAATTTAATCGGCGAATTCGGCGAATCAGCCGAACCGAATTTTTGAATAATTCGCTCATTTCTAATTATGGCTTACAGCTCATGAAAACCCCAAATCCACAATCTCAGAAAATTAGAATATTGTGAAAAGGTGCAATATTCTCGGCTCAAAGTGTCCCACTCTAATCAGCTAATTAAGCCATAACACCTGCAAAGGGTTCCTGCGCCTTTAAATGGTCTCTGTCTGGTTCAGTAGGAATCACAATTATGGGAAAGGCTTCTGACCTGACAGTTGTGCAGAAAACCATCATTGACACCCTCCATAGGGAGGGAAAGCCTCAAAAGGTAATTGCAAAAGAAGTTGGATGTTCCCAAAGTGCTGTATCAAAGCACATTAATAGAAAGTTATGTGGAAGGGAAAAGTGTGGAAGAAAAAGGTGCACAAGCAGCAGGGATGACCACAGCCTGGAGAGGAAAAGGTCATTCAAAAGTGTTGGGGACTTTCACAAGGAGCGGACTGAGGCTGGAGTTAGTACATCAAGAGCTACCACACACACAGACAGATCCTGGACATGGGCTTCAAAGGTCGTATTCCTCTTGTCAAGCCGCTTCTGAACAACAAACAACGTCAGAAGCGTCTTACCTGGGCTAAAGAAAAACAGACCTGGTCTGTTGCTCAGTGGTCCAAAGTCCTCTTTTCTGATGAGAGCAATTTTTGCATCTCATTTGAAAACCAAGGACCCAGAGAATGGAGGAAGAATGGAGAGGCACACACTGCAAGATGCTTGAAGTCCAGCATGAAGTTTCCACAGTCTGTGTTGATTTGGGGAGCCATGTCATCTGCTGGTGTTGGTCCACTGTGCTTCATTAAGTCCAAGGTCAACGCAGCCGTCTACCAGGAGATTTTGGAGCATGCTTCCTTCCGCAGACGAGCTTTATGGGAATGCTGACTTCATTTTCCAGCAGGACTTGGCACCTGCCCACACTGCCAAAAGCACCAAAACCTGGTTCAATGACCGTGGGATTACTGTGCTTGATTGGCCAGCAAACTCGCCTGACCTGAACCCCATAGAGAATTTATGGGGCATTGCCAAGAGAAAGATGAGAGACATGAGACCGAACAATGCAGAAGAGCTGAAGGCCGCTATTGAAGCACCTGGTCTTCCATAACACCTCAGCAGTGCCACAGGCTGATAGCTTCCATGCCACGCCGCATTGAGGCAGTAATTGCTGCAAAAGGGGCCCCAAACCAAGTACCGAGTACATATGCATGGTTATACTTTTCAGAGGTCTGATGTTGTTCTATGTACAATCCTTGTTTTATTGATTGCATGTAATATTCTAATTTTCTGAGATTGTGGATTTGGGGTTTTCATGAGCTGTAAGCCATAATCATCACAATTATGACAAATCACAGCTTGAACTATCTTGCTTTGCATGTAATGAGTCTATCTCATATATTAGTTTCACCTTTTAAGTTGCATTACTGAAATAAATGATCTTTTGCACGATATTCAAATTTTTCGAGTTTCACCTGTATATTCTCTGTAATATTCGTTTAGATTTCTCTGTTAGCGTTTTACTTTCTTTGAATAAATAAGACCTTTGCTTCTTTGAACATTGTGTTTATTTTTATAGCTAATATCGTAATACATTATTACCATCAATATTGTCTACTAGCTAATTATAGGGACTGACAAGATAGTACATCATTTTAATATAAGTATGGGGAAATCCAAAAACAACCCCCCAATTTATTTCACCTATAACATTAGTTACATTATTTACCTGTAATGAAGTATGTCCCACAATGTGCAGGCTGTAATCTACAGGATTCTGTAGAAATTATTACTGCTTATTCTCTTCCTGCTGCTGAACTTCCAGCACTGTGGGTGTTAACAGGTTCAGGTCTCCAAGATCAGCTGATGATCCTGACAAGGACATATCCCCTCCTGTCCTTTTCCATAATGGGCAAAGTGTTTTCACTGGTTACACTGCCTGTGCCACAGTCTGTGAATGGGGGGAAGAATCCTGTGACTGATAAGGTTCTCTTCCATTCACAGATCATGTTAGAGGAGCAGGAAGAGGGCAGGACAGCCCTGTAGTGAATAATTCCAAAGAACCCACATTGTGGGACTTCATTACTGGTAAATAATGTAGCTAAAGCTGTACAGAAACAATGTTTTAACTAAACTTCAGCTATAAAAGAGCACACAGGAGGGTGCACATGCCTAGTGCTTTACCAGATGTTTATTGTATAAAACAAAGCATACAGCCAAATGGATTCTCAAAAATAAAAAATAAATGTATACAGGCATGTATGACACTAAATCTCAATCCAGTGTGGGAATAGCTTGGCCAAACACATCGTGATGCTGCGCTGGCTAGCTGACACTTTTAGGGGGACACACCCCCTTATTTGGAGCTAAACTTCAGCTTTAGTTGGCTATTCATTTTTAATATTTTTTTATTGGCTGGAGTTCTACTTTATGTTTTTTTAAATCCACTTTAAAGTGTTACTAAACCCACAACATTAAAATCAGTCTGTATATTATTATTATTACCGTATTTGCCGGCGTATAAGACGACTGGGCGTATAAGACGACCCCCTACTTTTCCTGTTAAAATATAGGGTTTGGGCTATACTCGCCGTATAAAACTACCCCTCTTCCAACGCACACCAAAAATTAAAAAACATCAGATTTGATTTCAATATGGTATGGTATTCCAATGATGGGGCACGCTTCCTCACTCTGACACCAATGATGGGCACTATTCCTCCCACTGACACCAATGATGGGGCACTATTCCTCCCATTGACACCAATGATGGTGCCCCATCATTAGTGTCAGTGTGTGAGGAATAGTGTCCCATCATTAGTGTTAGTGGGAGGAATAGTGCCCCATCATTGGTGTCCGTGGGAGGAATAGTGCCCCATCATTGGTGTCCGTGGGAGGAATAGTGCCCCATCATTGGTGTCCGTGGGAGGAATAGTGCCCCATCATTGGTGTCAGTGGGAGGAATAGTGCCCCATCATTGGTGTCAGAGCAACGAATCGTGCCCCATCATTGGTGTCAGTGGCAGGAATAGCACCCCATCATTGGTTTCCGTGGGAGGAATAGAGCCCCATCATTGGTGTCAGTGGGAGGAATCGTGCCCCATCATTGGTGTCAGAGCAACGAATCGTGCCCCATCATTGGTGTCAGTGGGAGGAATAGCGCCCCATCATTGGTGTCAGTGGGAGAATTAGCGCCCCATCATTGGTGTCAGTGGAAGGAATAGCGCCCCATCATTGGTGTCAGTGGGAGGAATAGCGCCCCATCATTGGTGTCAGTGGGAGGAATAGCGCCCCATCATTGGTGTCAGTGGGAGTAATAGTGCCCCATCATTGGTGTCAGTGGGAGGAATAGTGTCCCAACATTGGTGTCAGTGGGGGGAGGAATAGTGCCCCATCGTTGGTGTCAGTGGGGGGAAGAATAGTGCCCCATCGTTGGTGTCCGTGGGAGGAATATTGCCCCATCATTGGTGTCAGTGGGAGGAATAGTGCCCCATCATTGGTGTCAGTGGGAGGAATAATGCCCCATGATTGGTATCAGTGACACCAATGATGGGGCACTATTCCTCCCAATGACACTTGCTGACTCCTGTTCTAGTATGGTACTGCTGCAGCCAGCATATGTGGTTGCAGCAGCACCTCTGCACTGCACACTTACCCTCACTCGATTTTCGCTGGTCCGCTCGGCTCCGCCTCCTCGCCCGTGATTGGCCGCCTGTGTGCCTTTCCTGAGCTACAGTTCTGGCGGCCAATCACCGGTGAGGAGGGGGAGCCGAGCGGCAGGAGTGAGGGAGTGGCCGGAGTGACTGAAGGAGCAGCGCTTCCTGGATGGATCGTCGTGGGAGCCAAGTAAGAGACTGCAGCCCTCTGCCCACCCCTGTACTTGGTGTCCCTTCCGTCGGAAGGGGGGGGCGGCGGCAGCACCACGCCGCCCCCCTAAAAAGTGCCCCCTGACGTGTACCGGTGTATCAGACGACCCCCGACTTTTGAGAAGATTTTCAAGGGTCAAAAAGTCGTCTTATACGCCGGAAAATACGGTATTATTATAATCCAGGATTTAAATGGCGCAGGGGCGGACTGACCATTTGGAAACTCGGGCACTGCCCGGGGTCAGTAGGGGGCCCCATGAGATGCCCCTGGTACCCTTTTCATAGGCTTTTTTGAGTTTGGGCTAGGACACAGGGGCCCCATGATCCCCTATTGCCGGGGGCTCCATGAGTTGTCAGTCCGCCCCTGAAATGGCGCCAACAGTTTGCACTGCACTTTACAATATAAAGAGAGACAGTACAATTACAATACATATCAATACAGAAGGAATAGGAGAGCCCTGCTCGTAGAGTTAACAATCCAAAGGAAGTAAAGCATTCTTGTTATACTCACTGTGGAGCGTGTGTAAACACGCTGTTTGATCCTGACTTCTCTGATCCTCTCCTTCTTTTAGTGTCCCCTATCTATCTGCTGATAAAACAGAGCCTTGGGGCCCAGCTGCACACACATGCTTTGTTTGGTGTGTATTGCTAGTGAGGTTTTTTTTTCTTGGGAGGATGCATGTGATCAGCACAGGGCCAATCAGCACTGTCCAGAAAGAGGGTCAGGGATCTTGCATCCTCATAGGACAATTATGGGATAATGAAAACTCCTTATACAAGCTTTAAACAGTCCTCTGCTGGATACTGATAGACGTCACAAGACTGCTCTAACTGCTGATGAGAAAAGGTATTTAGCAGTTTATATTTACTAAAATATTTGCATTTCCATGTTCTGTGTACTGTGGGAAGCTAGATATAGTGAATGCAGGGTCCTGGGTTTATTAACACTTTACAGCTGAATTCCAGGTAAATGCACAGCTGAAATTAAATTCTAGTGCAATTTTACCATGTGTTCTAAATTCAGCAGGACAGTCCTGGGAATTTTGACACTGTCTCATAGGAGGCAATTTACTAAAACTGTGTGAAGCAAAATCTAGTGGAGCTCTGCATAGAAACCAATCAGCTTCCAGGTTTTATTGTCAAAGCTTAACCACTTGCCCTCCAGAGAATTTACCCCCCCCCCCCCCCCCTTTCTGACCAGGCCATTTTTTGCGTTACTTTAACTGACTATTGTGCGGTCATGCAACTCTGCACCCAAATGAAATTTATGTCCATTTTTTCCCACAAATGGAGCTTTCTTTTGGTGGTATTTGATCACCTCTGCTGTTTTTATTTTTTGTGCTATAAACAAAAAAGACTGACAATTTTGAAAAAAAATAACAATATTTTTGACTTTTTGCTATAAAACATATCCAGTAACAATTTAAAAAAAAAATCAAATTTCATCACAAATTTAGGCCAAAATGTATTCTGCTACATGTCTTTGCTAAAAAAAAATCCCAATACATGTAAATTAATTGGTTTACGTGAAAGTTATTTTGTCTACAAATGGCGGTATATACTGTATTTTTTTTTATACTAGTAATGGCAGTGACCAGCAACTTATAGCGTGACTGTGGGACTGCGGCAGGCATTCTGACACTGGGGGGGACCTGACTAACTGCCACTGACATCCCCAGTGACAATAATACTGTGATCAGTGCTAATAAAAAAGCACTGACACTGTACTAATGAGAATGGGCAGGAAGGGGTTAACATCTGGGGCGATCACAGGGTTAACTGTGTGCTGTTTTACTATCTGGCCTCTGTGTGTTTTACTGTGTAAGCATGCTGAGCAGAGCAATACAAAGCAGCATGCTGGTGCTTACAGAGGAGAGATATGTATTGTTTACATATATATGTGATTTTGCGCAGCCCTGCCGTCCTGTAGCAGTAGTTCTGCTAAAGGGAGGTTGGGAAATGGTTAATTGAACAAGCTGAAGTTAGAGGCTGATTGGCTACCATGCACAACTGCATCATATTCTGTGTGCACCAGTTTTAGTAAATCTCCTCCATAGTGTTCATACCCTGTGGACTGTCCCACACTAAATACACTAAGTAGTAAATTCAAAGGGCAAACCGGTGCCAGCTTTGTATATCAGGTTGCTTTTGCTGGCTAAAAGCAGTTACAGAACACCTGCATCTGAAATGTCTTTAGCCGCAGCTGCTGGCTGCTTCTGCTCTCCCTGCAGCTGCCTGTCAGATCTCAGATGCTGTAATTTGTGTAAGTGCCATAAATAATCTTGAGAGGCAGTATAACAGGCAGCTCCCACAAGACAGAGACCCCAGGGGACCTTCTACCAGTTCAGGAGTTTAACCCCTTATTGCCATCTATTTAAAGTGATTGTATACTTTAGACACACAATATGAATAATGCATATCCCTCCATAATGTGTACTTGTCTCAATCCAGAGCACTAAGTGCCTTTATTTGTCTGCTGCTTCCTCCCTCTGCTATTTGCATGAGTCACTTCTAATAGGTTTAACCAACACCAAGAAGTAAAAAGGTGACAGGGGAGAGAGCTCCAGCACACAGTCTGTAACTGACAGCCTCAGCTCTGTTCCAATGTGCTGTGTAATGGGGGTGTGTCCCTTCCCTCCAATCAGCTCTTACTGAGCTCTGAAGAGTGTAACTTCAGCTCCTTGCCCCCTGCTTTCTTGAAGCTAACAGAAATTGGATACATTCTGTGCTTTGAAAGGATGTAGAGGAGAGATGGCTGCAGATAAATACTGTAGATATAACGTATGTAGAAGGATTTGTTTACTCAGCCCTCGAAATTTCCATTCGCCCGGTTGCATTGGGCGAGTGGAAATAAGATGGGGGCAAGCAGCGCTGGGACTATAGGTGTGTGGGAGGGGTGGTGGTGGGGGGCAGGGACAAGCAGTGATCTCCTGTATGGCTTTCAATGAAGCAACTGAAAGCCACAGGAGGGAGAGGAAGAGAATTGGCTTCCAGCTGCTTCATTGAAAGCCATACAGGAGATGGCTGCTTGTCACCGCCTCCACCGCTGCACAGATCATACCCGAACATTCCCTTTCTTTCTGGGCCCCCCTAATGTGTGCTTCTAAGTGCCTAGCCCCTCCCCCTATCCTCCGCACCAATAGGAGAAGAGGGGAGAGAGGATGGATCTGCTCTGTCTTCCCCTGTGCCCGCCCCACACTCCAGTCCGTGCAGCTTCAGAGGATGTGTGGGCTGGAAATCGAACTGTGATGTATCTGACTGAGCATGTGAGTCTTACCTACCTTCCTTTCATTCACCCCTCCTTTCCTCCCTCCCTTCCATCCCTCCCTTCCTTCCACTCCTCCCATCCTTTCTTCCTTCCACCCCTCCCTCCCTTCCTTCCACCTCACCTTCCCTCCCTGCCTTCCTTCCTTCCACCCCTCCCTTCCTCCCTCCCTTTTTTCCACCCCTCCCTCCACTTCCTCCCTGCTTGTCACTGCCCCCACCGCTGCACAGATCATCCCTGAACATTCAGTTTCTTTCTGGGCCCTCCCCCCATGTGTGCTCCTCAGTGCCCAGCCCCTCCCCCTATCCTCCACACCAATAGAAGAAGAGAGGCAAGAGGCTGGATCTGCTCTGCCTCCCCCTGTGCCCGCCCACACTCCAGTCCATACAGCTTGAACACAGAGCAAGCGACAGCTGTGATGCATTTGATTGAGTCCATCCCTTCCTTCCAACCACCCACCTCTTCCTTCCTTCCTTCCTTCCACCCCCTCCCTTCCTTCCTTCCACTCACCCCCCCTTCCTTCCTTCCACCCCTCCCTTCTTTCCTTCCACCCACTCCTCCCTTCCTTCCTTCCTTCCTTCCTTCCACCCCTCCCTTCCTTTCTTCCACCGACCCCTATCTTCCCTCCTATCCTTCCTTCCACCCCTCCCTTCCTTCTTTCCACCTCCCCCCTTCCTTCCTTCCACCCACCCACCCCTCCCTTCCTTCCACCACTTCTTCCCTTCCACCCCTTCCTCCCTTCCTTTCACCCCTCCCTTTCCTTCTTTCCACCCCTCCCTTCCTTCCACACCTTCCTTCCTTTCACCACCTCCTTCCTTCCTTCCTTCCTTCCTTCCTTCCTTCCTTCCTTCCTTCCTTCCTTCCTCCCACCCTCCCTCCTATCCTTCCACTCCTCCCTTCCACCTCCCCTCCTTCCTTCCTTTCCTCCCAACCTTCCTTCCACCCCTCCTTTCCTTCCACCCCTCCCTTCCTTTTTTCCTTCCTTCCACCTCTCCCTCCCTGCCTGCCTTCCTTCCACCCCTCCCTTCTTTCCATCCCTCCCTTCCTTCCACTCCTCCCTCTCTTTCTACCTTCCTTACATCCACCCCCCCTTCCTTCCATTTCCTTTCTTTTTGCGCCCTGTGTTTAATCTCTGTTTATCACATGAGGCCAGTCACTTCACTGGATATATTTAAGGTTTTACAACCACTTTAAGCTTTAAGTGATTGTAAAGGCAGATTTTTTTAAAATAACAAATATGTCATACTTACCTGCTTTGTGCAGTGGTTTGGCAGAGAGCAGCCCCGATCTTTCTCTTTTTGTGTCCCCCTCTGGTGCTCCCAGAACCTCCCCCCTGCCAACTTCCCCTGTAACAAGCAGCTTGCTATGGGGGCTCCTGAGCAGGCTCGCTCCCAAGCCACTGCTCTGTGTGTTCAGTGACAGGCAGACGCTGCTCAGCCTCACCTCCACTCTCTTCTCATTGGTTCACTGGCTGTAATTGACATTAGTGGGAGCCCTCGGATCCTGCTGCTGTCTCAGCTAATGAGGCAGGAGAGTCCCAGGAGATCATGCACGTTGCTCGATCAAGATGGGGCTCAAGTAAATATTAAGTGCGATTGGGGGGGAAACTGCACACAGAAGATTTTTTTACCTTCATGCATAAAACAATGCTGTTCTCTAACTGCCCTATTCCACACTGCCTCATTCTATATGCTGCATTGTACATTCCCCTTTCCACACAGCCTAATTATGCATGCTGTGCTTTACCTTTCCAATTCCACACCTTCTAATTCTGTATGCCTGTACTTTACATTCCCTATTCATCACTTCCTAATTCTATGTGCTGTCCTGCATATTCCTTATTTCACACTGTGTCATTCTGTGCGTGGTTCTGTTCTTTCCCATTCCACACTGCCTCATTCTGTACACTGGGCTGTACATTACCTATCCATCAATGCCTTACTCTAGATGCTGTGCTGTGCATTACCTATCCAACAATGTCTTATTCTAGATGCTGTGCTGTATATTACTTATGCTGCACTGCCTTAATCACTGCTTTCTCACGAATGCTGCACTATACATTACCTATTTCTTTACCCTTCCTCCAAGTCTAATGGCTAGTTCACACTAGATGCAGTTCAGTGCGCTTTTTTCTGCATCAAAAATGCATACACAGTGTTTTCCATGTATTCCAATGGCCTTGGTTCACACTAGTGCAGTCAATTCCAGTCAATTTCTGGTGCAGAAGAAAAAGTAGAACATGCTGCGTTTTTTCTGCACAGAACCATACTGGAACATAGCAAACTGCATCAAAACTACACCGGAGTGTGGTGTGAACTGTAAGTAAGAATGTATCCAGGAATACATCCAGAGTGCATTTTTGTAGTGTGAACTGACCCTAAAAGTTCCCATTCCTCCCCTTGTTTTCCTCCTACTGACCTCAACGATGGGACTTATTCTATCCAACAGACATCAATAATGTACCTTTTTACACCTGCTTTCTCTTCAGTGTACCCCGAGGCCCTTTTTTGTCCTAAGCTTTGCAAACTAGGGTGAAAGTTGTGACACTACAAACTATATGGTGTCGAGTCCACTGGCTTTATTAGACACACCCATGAAAGTTGTGGC